TGTTCTGCATGGAGCACTGGGTGTTATGCACAAACAATGAATCATGGAACACTTCATCTAAAACTAATGATGTAATGTATGGGGATTAATATAACAATAAAGAATTTAAAAAAATTTTTCCAGAATTTAGATTAAAATTTGAATCGCTGCAACCCGAAACCATGAGTTTTAAGGGAAAGCTCCCTCTGCCCCTTCCCCCAAATTAAAGGATATTTTTAGAAGCTAACGTCCAAAAATACAAACAGCCAACCAGACTTTAAACGTGACTCAGGTTTGGAAATAGAGCACGGTAAAGAGCCACAAATATGTTAACGGGATTCAGAGGGTCGAGTCAGTGTAATCAGCATTCTTTGGTCACTGGGAAGGTAGTAATAATGTTATCTTTCTTCTTCTCTTCTTTATTCAGTGTAACAAGTCCAGCACTTTGCTTTTGGCATATCAAATTAAGTTCACGGTAAGTCAACAACTATTTCTGTACACTGGGAGATTAGGGGCTTTAGTCGGAAGGTAAGTACTTGAACCTGGGCATCCTAACAGCCCAGTGGTCCTGGACAACTTAATCTCTCAGGCCTCCCCTTCATACATCAATTAAAAGGGACCAGTACTACTTCCCTTATAAGGCTGTCACAAGGATTAAATGGGTGAGGAGACATAAAAATCTTTCTTCAAACATGAAGTGCTACACAAATGTAACGCATCCCCAGATAATATTCTCCCTTTGGCCTCTATGCCATAGCAAGAGCAGCTTTGGAGAGGGATAACAGAGTTGGCTTCTCTCAAAACATTAAGATTGATTATTATATCAACACCCCAGGAACAGTGGCAGACTATTCCTGGATATAGGCACAGCAGTTTTTACATGTTTTTTTAATTATTGTAGTAAAACAGACATAATCTAAAATTTACCATTTTAACCTGTTTTAAGTATACAGTAGTCTCGCATTAAGTACACCCACATTGTCCTGTCACCATCATTGCCAACCATATCCAGAGCTTTTTAAACTCTCCACATAAACTCTGTACCCATGAAATGCTGACCCCCTCCATCCCCGTTCCCCCCCAGCCCCTGTCAACCATCACTCTATTTCTCTCTCTGATTCTCACTACTTCAGGTGCCTTGTAGAAATGGAATAATATGATATTTGTCCTTTTATGACTGGCTTATTTCATTTAGCATGATGTCTTTAAGGCTCATCCATGTTGTAGCAGGTGTCCGAACCCCCTTCCTCTTTAAGACCACGTAATACTCCAGTGTGTGGATGGACCATGTTTTGTGTATGCATTCATCTGTCCATCCATTTATGCAGGCTTCCATCTTCTGGCTCTTGTGAATAATACTGCTATGAACATGGTGCACCCATATCTATTTGAGGCCCTGCTTTCACTTCTTTTGGGTGTATGCCCAGACGTGGAATGGCTGGACCATATGGTAATGCTATGTTTAAATGTTTGAGGAATCACCGTATCAATTTCCCACAGTGACTGCACCATTTCCCTGTTCCCACCAGCAAGGTACAAAGGGTCTAATTTCTCTGCATTCTCATCAACACTTGTTATTTTATTTTATTTTATTTGTTATAATAGCCATTAGTGTACAGCTTTGAGTGGGGTCAAGGCGCTAAGAGTTGGTAACAACAGCAGGAGCCCCAGCGTCAGAGGTAGGGCAGAATTTCCTTCTATGGCTGATAGAATACTGAGCTCGAGAAGGCTCTCGAGTGAAATACTTACAAAACTGTCCCTTGTCCTCCAAACAGAAACTGAAATTTGTCTTGAAATTAAGGACATTAGCTGCCTCAGATCCATGGTCATATCAGCCATAAAAATAACCACTAACAGGTAAAAACATGCTTAAAGGGGATGCTTCGGTGGCTCAGTCAGTTAAGCGTCTGCCTTTGGCTCAGGTCATGATCTCAGGGTCCTGGGATCGAGCCCTGCATTGGGCTCCCTGCTCAGCGGGGAGCCTGCTTCTCCCTCTGCCTCTCCCCCTGCTGTGCTTGCTCTCTGTCTCTCTCTCTCTGACAAATAAATAAGTAAATAAAATTTTTAAAAAAT